AAAAGAATTTTCATAAAGAACTTTTTTTACTAGAAACTTTTTTTGTTAGAAACTAAAATAACAAAAATTGTTTTTGAATATAATGATAAAACACAGTAATATTAAACAGCAGGAAAAAACTCCAAAATCTATTTTATAGTAAAGTTAATCACAAACTAGTGATTCACACAAATTTCAAATAATTCAAATTTAAACTATTCAAATTTGAAAACTAATGGCACTAACAGAAAATTTATACTTTTTTGACCTAAAAGCAAAAAAGAATTTAAAAAATGAAACAAAAAACAAAAGAAAATAAATAATGCAAAAAACAAAACAAAAAAATGAAAAAAATATATAAAAAAACGCCACCTATTGGGCCACCACGGCCTGAATACGACTAGAAACTCAACCATGGGCCAGGATTCATGCCCGCAGAAGGCCCACAGGTAGCATAGCGTGAGATTAGGCCCGTAAGCCTGCATTTGAGAGGAGCTCGAGAGGGCAGCCGCAGTGGGGCTTATAAACCACTCCGAGCCCCTCTCAACTAGCGAGGTGGGACTAAACTTTTGGCCGCGGGCACCGCAAGGCCTTTGGTTCCGGTTGGTGGCACCAACCGGGACTAAAGGTGGGCTTTGGTCCCGGTTCGTGGCACCAACCGGGACCAATGACACCCTTTAGTCCCGGTTGGTGCCACCAACCGGGACCAATGGTCTCTATGTTCCCACCCTTTGGGCTGCTGAAAAGAGACCTTTGGTCCCGGTTGGTGGCACCAACCGGGACTAAAGGGGGGCTATACATGACTAATGACTAATGAATGCAACGGATTGCTACTAATGACTAATATGAATGCAAAGGATTCCAAAATCCTATCTTTATTTTGTTTCCACAAGAAATGGGGATATACATGAACAAAATCAGGCACATATTATGGAAAGGAGTAAAGAGTAGGTAAGGAGATCCAAAGTGGGAGGCGTAGGAAGCCACTAGAGCGCGAGACGACGTCTCATACGAGCGGAGCCTTCTGTTCCACCCCAACAACTTCTATAAAATGGCCAACACTAGAAGGGGAATAGAACATCGCCCAGACCTCTATCTTTGTCATCCACAACAACCCTAGCCACCGCCTTTTTTCATGTCCAAAACCATAGCCATCTCCACCACCATCACCACAGCTTTCATCCAAGTTAGCAACACTTTGTAATCATGTATCGCATCCAGCAACTATTCTAAGACATATTATCAATCAATTAATCTTTATGGATTGAGTAGCCCTGCAACCCTATGTATTTGTCGGAGGGATCGATGGAAGTATTATGATGTCTTGTGCGTGTGAAATAAAATTGCATCGTAGTTGTCTCTTGTCTCGTTTGCGATCTTTGTCCCTGCAGGTACCCGCGATCACAGAGATCGACCCACGGAGAGGCTAAGGGTAGAGAGACCGTGAAATGCTATTTTGAACACGAGTGACAGGAAGGTTTAGTACTGTAGCGTGAATCCTATCTCTAGGGATACAAGAGGTGTAGTCATTAAATGCACAATGTTTTTGTCTGATTTGTCTTAATTACCGAGTCAACCCCGCGGACGGATATGGTCTTTGGTTGGACAACTGACTCTTGATGCAGGACATGTGTCGGTCAGATCAAGACGTAATTTGGACACATCCCCCACTCCGATATGTTGCAAGTACATCTTGATGCTGACTTCTAGAGCAACGCTATCATGATGATCTCGTTCGTAAATATATGATTGTAAGAATAAGTCCTCAAACCCATGCCTATTTTTATTTATAAGTGTTCAGTAGTGCAAATTGATTTCGATCTGGTCCAAAAACTGAAATTTAATTCTCTTCCAAAGCTTGATATAAATCTTTGTCTTAAATGTGCACTTCCTCTCGTGGGTTCGATCACTCGGGGCCACCTCTAGGAAAGAAAAGGAGGGAATCCTTTCTGCTCCTTCACCGTATCACTAGAGGGACTCGTCAACAATTCACAACTAACTATTTAGATGTTCACGAGTACAGAACAAGCACTAAACACCGACTAAAGGTAACTCTGCAATTCTGCATCCATAAGGTCCTACTTTAGTTTCCAATATTTACTATTAGAAATGCCTGCTGCCAAAGTCTCAAAAGAAGAAGAAAAGAAACGGCTACTGCAAAAGTTCTACTTCATCGATGGCCTGCCCCATTTAGTCAACCCAATTGCATCCTTGTCTTAGTCGATAAATTGACCAATTTCACACACTTTTTGCCAGTCACACATCTTTATAATGCGTTTAAGATTGCTCTTTTGTACATGACGCACATCTACCCCTGCATAGCCTCCCTGACGCCATTGTCTCCTATGAGGATCCGGTCTTCACAAGTCATTTCCGGCAAGAACTCTTCAAATACGCTGGCACGGAGCTGCGGATGAGCACAACGAATCATCCCCAAATGGACGAGCAAACGGAACACGTGGATCAGTGTCTGGAGACATTCCACCGATGCTTCACCCACACTTGCCCGTGGCGCTGGAGCCATTGGATCCCCCTCCCTCAGTTCTGGTACAACTCAACAACGCATTGAGCCATCGGGATTCAAGGCCATGTACAGGTGAGAGCCATGCCACTGGGGGATCACAGCTACCTCAACATGCATGGTGCCAGCACTGCAATCTTGGCTCGACGAGCGTGCGGTCATTCAACTTCTGCTCCAATAGCATCTGCAACATGCCTGATAGTGCAGCATCTGCAGCATGCCCGAAAGTGCATAAAGCAACAAGCAGACAAGAAGCAGTCCGATCGCGCCTTCTCCGTTAGCGACCAAGTCTTCCTCAAGCTCCAACCGTACATCCAAATGTCTGTCACCAAGCGTGCCAATCACAATCTAACCTTCAACTAGTACACCCCCGAGGACATCATCGACAAAATCAACGATGTGACATTAAAGCTGGAGCTGACAGAACAATACGTGCATCATGTTTTCCACGTATCTCAACTTGGCCGCACCTTGCTTCCAGGCACTGTTGTTGAACCACTGCTGCCAGTGTCGATCGACGTCATCCCGGGCGCCGTGCTACGCAGCCGCTAGAAACGCAAGAACGGTTCCATAATTGACCAGGTCCTCATCCGCTTGTTTGATCGCGCTGCCAGCAACGACACCACCTGGGAGAACAAGATGGAGCTTCAAGCCAGATTCCCTAGTGTCGGGGCTTGGGGGCAAGCCTCTTCGCAAGAGGAGGGGGGGGGGGGTGTCAGCACGACTGGCATGCAAGCCCCAACAGATAACGCTTCCATGGCCTTGTAGCCCACTTGGCCCAGAAGGCAACGGAGGCCCAACCCAAGAGTGCTCGCCCCGAGTGGGCGTGAGTTCTCCGTTGTCCATCTATTTACCTGGCTGGCAAAGATAGAGGACTCATCTAGTGGATCATGACACGAACCCGACGCCGGCTCTCTCCTCTTCCTCACCTTTCCCCCAATATGTGTAATCCTGAGATTGCATACCTATTGCTACCCGGATTTGAGCGTGAGAGTAGTAGATTAAGAGTGAGGTACTGTTAGGTTGCTAACACGCAAGTCAAGTAGGTGTTGGTCCACTGATCAAGTTTCCCCATGCAATCTTGCTAAGTCTCACTCGACTGAGACTTCGACTGAGACTTACGAAGTCTCAGTCGATGATATGAGTTTTTATGTTGAGATTTATGCAAAAATTTCTTTTTATTTTTTTCCTTTTCTCTTTCTTGCATGTTATGTCACTTAACTAAGACTTTGGTTAAATCTCCTTCTCCTTCTCCTCCAAGAAAGAAAGTTAGAATTTGTGCTTCTTGCCGGCGCCGGCGCAGGTCCGCCTCGTCTCCGGTGGCCCTAGGGCCATGGAGGCGCGGTGGATCCTGGCAAGGGCCGGCGGGAGGGCTCCGTTTTTAGTCGTTTTTTCAATCTTGTTAGGGTTTGTGTCCTACTCAGGAAGGCGAGACGGCGGCGGCTCCCTGAAGATGGAATAAAGGTCTCACCGCCTAGCCCCCGTTTCGGCGGTGCGTCTAGCATTGTTGGTGGGCGTGTGGAGGTGTGTCTCCGGCAGATCTATCTTTGGTGGATTTGCTCGGATCTCGTCGTTGTTCGTCTACGTTCGTGTGTTTTCGGTTTGGATCCTTCCGATCTACGTTATTTTTCATCGGTGGCGGTTGCTGTTCTGGGGTGCTGGTCCTATGGGGCCTTAGCACGACGACTTCCCGACTGTGTACTACAACAAGTTGTGTCCGGCTCCGGCGATGGAGGGGCGATGACGGTGGCGCGCCTTCGGCTCACTTCGGTGCTTGTAGTCGTCGTTAGGTGGTCTACAAATCTGAATGTAATTTTTATTTCTGGTATTCGTTGTACTATCATGATTGAAGATGAATAGATTGGAAATTTTTCTGAAAATAAAAAAATAAAACTTGGTTAAATCTTCATCGAGTGAGGCATAGCCACACCCTTCCCCGTGTCGCTCGCCACCTCGGAAGACAAGGTGCCACTCAAGTCAAGATTTTCAAGGGCGTTGGCTCGGGGACAAGCCGAATCAATGTCACGGGAGCGACCAGGTCAACGGGCATGCCGGGCAGCCCGGCCCAAGAGGAAGGCCAAGCCCAATACTCGCGTCCGTGGAGAATACTGGACTCAGAGTCAGTGAGGTGGGTACTTGGGCGTGTGTGCGTGTGTGGAGGGCATCGTGGGATCACATTTATCGGCACCGCTGGGCGAGTTCCTCTTCCACCTCCTGGCTCTGTTCCCCAATCCCCCCTTCTTCTTGCTGAAACCCTAGCTACTCCAATTTGTATCCTGGATGGATCTGGTGTTCCGGAGTTGAGAATCGAGTGATAGTTACCTAGGACCGTATCATCCGCCCATCTTCCGGTTCTCGTGGCAGCGGCGGCGGCGGCGGCGACTTACCGGCCAGGTGAGGCGCGTCCGCCGGAAGGCGAGAAATCCATCTGCCCACCTCATCCCATTCTCTCTACCCTCTCGGCGTCTGATACTTTCTTGCCTCGTAGCGCCGACGACGCATGGCTCCCAAGAAGAAGCGCAAGAGTGCGCCGCCGGAGACGGTGAGCACCACCGTCCACGACCTCCCCGACAATCTCCTCCAGCACGTGCTCTCCTTCCTCCCAGCGCAGGAGTCCGTTCGGACTTGCGTGCTCGCCCGGCGCTGGCGCCACCTTTGGAAGTCCACCACAGGCCTGCGTATCCTAGACCTTGTCCTTGACGATGATGAGGATATCTCATTCCAAGACCTCCGGAAGTTCGTCGAACATCTGCTGATGCTGCGCGAGCGCACCGACCTAGAAAGTGTTGAGATGAAATTCCACTGTTACTACGAAGGCGAATCCTATGTGAGCCTATGGACCCGTTTCGCTCTGATTTGCAAAGTTCGGGTGCTCACCCTTCATATCCTTGGGGAAGAATACTTCACCCTAGACGGCCTGCCTCTTGTGTCTCGGCACCTGAAAACATTGCACCTTCATGGTCTAATCCTACAAAAGAGCTTTCTTGATTTTGCTAGCTGTCCAGCATTGGAGAATCTGAAGATGGGTGTTTGCAAAATCAATGGTTGTAAGATATCATCTCTTTCCCTAAAGCATTTGAGCATCACTAGTTGCGGCTGTGATCTGGATTGCCGGCTTAACGTTTCTACTCCAGGCCTTGTCTCTTTGAAACTAGATCGCTTTTCGGGTAAAACCCCTTTTCTTGAAAACATGCCGTTGCTACAGACTGCATGTGTGAATCTTGGCATGGGCTGCGAAGGTGTCTGTTTGAGTATCTTCTGTTGAGGTAATAAGAACGGATGTGGAATTGTCTATCAAAAAACGATGGCCGCATCGATTGCGTGCTTATGGGTGGGATCTCAAGTGCTAAACATCTTGCACTGATATCTTATTTTGGAAAGGTGTGACACTCATCTTTAACTCTTTTCATTTGTGTTATCCCTTTTTTGTGTTCCATTATCTACATTGTTTCTAGAGAATCAGAGATAAACAGATTACATATGCATCACAAACAGATTGTGGGTCTTAGATCAGCATCTCCCATTCTTAGTAAGGATTACTTGATTTAATTACTTCTTGTATTTTTCTTTCCAGTTCATTTTCGCAAGAGATTTGATGAATTGCTGCCCTACATTTAGTAAGTTAAAGACTTTATCACTCAGTGTGTACTGGTGGGAGGCTCCTGACTTGGATCCACTAGCTTGCATTCTGCAAAATTCACCAGTTCTAGAGAAGCTCTCTCTTAAACTTTTCTCCAAGGTATATAAATCTTCTAAATGGACAACTGTTGTAGTGTTAAACGTTATTATCAGCTATCTATATTGAACATTGGTTCAATGCTTTTTCTTACCATAGGGACCAGATCATGAAGTGGAAATGAAAGGAAGGTACAGTCCAATGGAGGGTCCGTCTGCAATATCAGAGCACCTTAACATGGTTGAAATCAAGTGTAATGTGGTCGACGAGAAGATTCTCAAAGTCTTGAAGCTCTTGTCTACATTTAATATACGTAAGCTAACTAATGACTCTTGACATGATCTCTATGTTCTTAAATTAGCTTTCATATGTGGGAAAGAAACTAAGAAAGCAGGCTGTAAATAAAAAAAAACTGAAGAATTATGAACAAAGAACTATTTTGGGGATTCCAAATTGTTTTATGATATGATATCTGGACCAAGTTTGGCCAGGCTTAGAAATGAAACCAATATAACCCTTTTTGTTGGCAAAGGATATTCAATATATGTGTTGCCAGAACAGTAATGAAACACAATATGGATTTGTTGATTAGTTCTGCTTTTATTCGGCAATAGCACAAATGTCTGAAGATTAATGTAGAGTAGTGATCTAGAATACACAGATACTTTAGGAAACAAATGTATCCGTATTGGATACCATACAGATATGGCTTCGTCCTGGATACGTCCCCGTTACATATCAGGAGAGTATCGGCCTATTAAAAACAAACATTTTTAATTCTGATACTTGAGGCATACCTCATGGAGTCATGGGTACTCTCCCGATACGTCCAAGCCCAATAAAGTGCACTAACTCACATGTATGTCTCAACCCTACCTGTACCGAAACCCATCCCTGATCTCATTCCCTCCCGCCCTCCTGACCTAGACGGCGGCTCAATCTGCGGCCGCGGGCGGGCGCCGAACTTGGCGGCAAGCTACGGGCAAGCTTGGGAGGATTCCTGCTCCTCATTCCTCACATCCTCTTCACCTACTCGGCGCCTTTTCCTCTCAACAGCAGGCAGCAGCAACTCACCGGCGGCAGCTCCCGCTCTTCAGTCCTTATCTGACTCGCCTCCCTGACTTCCCCTCCAGCAGGATGCAGGAGCAGCTTTCGGGAATGCTCCCCACCTCCAGCCTCAGGATCGAGCAGTAGCTCGCCGGCAGCAAGCTGGTGATGCGTAATCCGGTGCTCTTGCTCCAATCCCCTCTCCCTCTCTCATATAAATTTCTATCTAATGGGCAGCTACCCTCCCTGCACTACAAACATCTCTGTATTGGTATTCTTCTGCATAATATTTCTATGAAATCTACACCTTGGCCATGTTTAGGAAAATATCAGAACATCAAGTTAAATTGCTGGTCATACTTCATATTAAAGAACCATTTGTCATTATTTATTTAAAATTAGTCAAATGTATCCCCGTATTGTCACTTTTCAAAAATGAGGAGGTATCGGCCCAATACTGATACACGTATCCGTATCGGTGCATTCTAGGCAGCGATACAGTATCTTCATATGCTGACATATTAGTTCTGAACAGTAACTCAAATGTCTACAGTATCTTCACATGCTGATATATTCCAAATTGTTCCAGTATCTTCATTTTCATTGTCACAAGTAACCTTGCATTTCGTACTTCTGCAGACACATCAGACTTATCTTTTCATTTGTGTACAGGATTCGGTTTTTTGTAAGGGTGTGAAGTGAGATAATCTGGATTGTCGATGGATTTACCATCTCTTGACTATTCAGAAATGGAAGGCGCAAGTATGTGCTGTGACAAGGTTTCCGCCGTTTTGGTGCGTGTGCATCTGATGCCAATTCTACCGAACAAAGGAATAGTGTAGAGTTCGGATCATGTAACTTGTCAACTCTAGACCATCTAGCTGGACTTGGTTTTATGGTATCTTGTAATTTCTGTTGCACTTTTGGTTCATGGACTGGTTAGTACTCGCTTGGCATGTCTTTTCTGGCTTCGTGCATAACTTGTTGTGTTATGAATTGTTTGCCTGTTTTCTTGTTCCTCCTTGTTTGATCTCTGCAAACCTTGCTGGTCCAGAGGGGAGGTGGCACCCTTGGACGTTGTGTCTTGGGGAGCACCGTGCCATTGTGCATCTATTTAGAGCAACTCTAGCAGATGTGCCAAATTCTGACCCGTAAAATCGTTTTACGGTTCACCCTAAAATGATTTTGCGGGCACTTAAACCCCAGCACAAAACAAATCTTGCAAACCATACTATAAATTTAAAAACTTAAACATAGTTTTGTTCCCGTGGAGATCATCAACATAGGTAAACTAAAAACATAGATAAAACTAGCTTGCGCCGGCTGTGGTGGCTCACGGCTTGACGTTGAGGTAGTACTTGCACGCGGACCGGTATAGGATGGTGGTGAGCTGGGCGGACATATTAAACATATAAAGGATGATAGACTACGCCGAGCTGTAGGGATGGACGACGCCGAGCTGTGGCTGCCCCGTGCACTCTCTCTCTCTCTCTCTCTCTCTCTGAGAGGAACCGAGGCAGCCACAGCCTCCTGCTCCCCTTCTCTCTCTCGCTCTCCCATGCCTCCTCTCTCCCGCAGTACTCCCGCGGTACACGCCGCTGCTGCTCCCCAACCACAGTGCTGCAACGTTGCTTGCTCGCCTGGTCGCCGCCTTGTCCCCCCTACATCTCGCCTGGTCGCCGCCTTGTCCCCCCCTACATCGATATCGTCTGGAGCGGCGCCGGCATCGCGCCACCGCGTCGTTGCCTCCTCTGCGCCATGAGGGGCGCCACCTCTACCTCCACCCCCACTGGGCATGGAGCTCAGGGTGTTTGGGGCGTTCTTGTCCCTGATGTTCTGCTGTGATTGGTGCAGCCGCTAGAGGGGAAAGAGCAGAGGATCTAGGAAAGCAATCAAGAGTCGGAGAACACGCCCCATGGCTTCTACGAGGACCAGATGCAAGGTATGTCCATCTGTATAGCTTGGATAAGGGTAGGTGATGCAAGGGGTCTTGTCCTAATATCATCTTTGTTGGTTTGGATGATTTTGCAGGTTTCTTTCAGCAGCTTGGTGTTGTTAAGAAGAGGGTCAGGATTGCCTGGAACCGCATTACAAGATATCTCGGCAAATGCTTAAATTCATGGGTGCAAACGCATACTTGTCTCCTACACAGGCTAAAACACTATTGGAGGTGTGTGTGCAGTTCTAATTTCTTAACATCCATTTCTTTTCTTTGACCACTGACTGCATCTGACAAAGGAACTGTGTGGTTGCTTTCAGATAAGGATACTGGTTTTTCATATTTGCATCTCAAAGAAGCTTGCCCGCTATTGTATGTCGACATTTTCTTGGTAACTATGTACCAGTGGCTCAAGTCACTGTTGATTAAATGCTCCTGCAGATGTTCCATTTTGAATGGAAACTGGCTTTGCATATTGGAAAAAGCAAGAACCTTATATGATTTCAGTGTGGAATCATCTCTTTGGTTTGATCTGTAATCATGTATTAAAACAAATCATTTGCTCAGGTAAGTTAGTGGTATACTCGTCTTGCATGCAGAGGTGTTTACTTACTTTAAACATATAAAGGATGATAGACTAGCGGCACTTCTCGGGCCATCCATGCGGCCAACACTTCAACTTGTGTCCGTTTTCACCCAACGCCCTGCCTAGCCTCTGTCGCTGACGGATGGACCCTGTGGTCGTGGGCCAGGCACAGCGAACGCCCCGCTTGAGGGAAAAAAAGCTAGCGAGCAGCAAGAAAAGGAGCGAAGCGAGCGGGCAGCAAGGGAGAGACCTAGCCCTCTCCCCCCGCGAGGCAGCAACCCCCGTTCCTCTCGCCGCTGCCGCCACCGCCCCCGCCCAGGATGGATG